TGAGCGGCTTTTATTTCAAGTTTTACGGTAAACAATGTCACGCCTGAATTTCAGCGAGCTGGGACTATAATAAAGAAGTGTGTAGGAGCGTCTAGTTATTTGATATTTTGCATTTGTTTTTGTATTTGTATTTCTTGTTCTTTGTAAACATCAGGGCACAGTGGGCAGGTGTGTCACCTCACAGTGACACACCTGCCACATTTAAGTGAGGTGACACACCAGGAAGGGACGCAGGGATTTTTACCAGGTCAATGAGGCGCGGCACAAAATGTTTGTTTGTTTTGCATGATCTTCAAATAAAATTAATTATGAATGACCGTACGTCGAACTGCTTACGGATCAACTGGAACAGTGAATCAGTTGCCCTTTGTTAACCTTTAATTTTTAGACAAATAGCCACAATGACTTACGATAATTAAGATGTCTAACCACTTGGCCCCGTATACTTTTTTTCTCAAACCATGTCTTTGGAACGACCTCCCTGAGGAGACTCGCAGACTCCCTCAATTCTTTTAAATCCCTTCTTAAAACATACTTTTACAGACTTGCTTTTATGTGATGTCGTCTTCTTAATGTCTTTTCTTACTGGTTTTACTATTTTTATCTTCTTTTACTTCTTACTGTCTTTTATTTATGGTCTTATCTTGTATTTATGCTCATATCTTAATCTCCTCTTGTGTTTTAACTTGGTAATTTCTTATCTTACTTACTTTGTCTATTTATGTTTCGTATTTATAGTTAATTTTTATTTTTATTAATATTATAGTTTTGGGTTTTTTGATCCTTTAACCACTTGTTTTTATTTCCTTTACTGCGCTTACCTTCTTATTGCTTTTTATTTGCTTTTATCTCTTAGTTTCTTACATCTTTTTAAATCTTTGGTCCTCTTGGTCTCAGCTCATGTTGTTGGGTTCTTGTGTTCCTGGGTTCTTATGATGGTTCTTATGATGGTTCTTATGATGGTTCTTATGATGGTTCTCATGATGGTTCTTATGATGGTTCTTATGATGGTTCTTATGATGGTTCTTGTGATGGTTCTATGATGGTTCTTATGATGGTTCTTATGATGGTTCTCATGATGGTTCTATGATGGTTCTTGTGATGGTTCTTGTGATGGTTCTTATGATGGTTCTTGTGATGGTTCTTATGATGGTTCTTATGATGGTTCTTATGATGGTTCTTGTGATAGTCGGGTTCTATATGTCTGGTTGTGTATCGTGCACTTTGGGTTCTTTTCTGTTGAATTGTATTTAATTATTTTTGGTATTTTGCATCTGTTATATTCTTACTGTTGTTTATGTTTTTCTGTGTTTGGTTTAGTTTGTTCTTGTTTTTGCTGTTTGTCAAAGCACTTTGTAAACCTGTGTTTTTAAAAGGTGCTATATAAATAAAGTTATTATTATTATTATTATGTCTGACACTAGTTCTCTAACTTACCACTGATTATTTGGATGTTAGTAAGAGTTTTTAGATCACGCTCATTCTGTGTCAGTTTACATGCATGTGAAGCTACGAGCTAACTAAAGAGCGCTAACATTAGCATGCTAACACAACAATGCAGGACACAGGTGATTGCAGCTCGAGAAGAGGACACTTTTGTCAAAATTTTGTCCGCCGCTTACGCTTAGTGCTTAATGATGGTGCGTTCCAATATGAAAACTTTTTAAACGTAAGGGGAGAGGGTTTGGAGGTGTGTCTCTGGAGGAGGGCAGAGGAGGCTAACAACAATATGTTTAGTGACTGCGTCTCAGAGCGAGGACTGAAGCTTCCAGCACTTTTCACATGAATACAATTACACAAGTATGAGCAGCAAGTATGGAAGCAGGTCAAGTATGGCCTTAAAAAATAAGGACGTGCTGATGATTTAGTCTACACGTAAATAAATGTAGGCCAGCCGACCCGTTCATAAAGACAACGATGAGTCAGGACCCTGAGATTTGAGGAACCCACAACCAAAATGATATGATGCTGATATTTTCAGAATAACTTGTGCAGTCTGGTCCTCAGACGGTACAAATAATGACAGAACAAAGACATGAAACAAAACAACAACAACATGTTTACTTCTGGTCCCGACCCACCAGTTGAGAACCCCTGACTTAGAGGACATGAAGGTTATTTAGGAGGTTTTAAAGGCTGTAATAGTTGGAGGCTGATTGCACCTTCAGATGCTGACAGTCACGTCGGTGTGATGTGAGGAAAGTGAAACTAAAGGAAACAGGGCGCGATCATCAGAGTCGGTATAAAGAGCGGAGCTGACACCTGAGCGTCAACAAAAAGTACAGACCCTGGATGGGAGTTCCAGACCTGACCTCTTTGATCGAGGCCAACCCGGAAATCTACCAGAAATTCGAGTTCAGTGAGAGTCGGCTGGTGATCGACGGCTGCAACTTCCTCTACCTGCTGTACTTCGACTCAGGTGAATAAAATAAAAAATGCTCTCATTGCAGTTTACTATTCTGTACTTTAGGATTCTAAATTGGGAGTTTGATTGAGTCTAATATTTGTTCTTTAAATATGAAAAGCTTCGTAATTCCTCCATAAAAACTCTCTGATACAAACATACAATTCTCTTATTAAGACAGCAGTAAGTTTCCACTCAGTGTTTGTAATGATGCATCACAACACAAGCAGCTTTTTTATGCTGTTGCTACAGTGGCTGGGAAGTACTTAACTACAGAGACCCTGAAGTCCCAAAAAGTTTTTTAAAAAAATGTCTTGTGCGCACAAGATAATTTTGAATTAATTTGCCTCGGCAAAGCCTTATGGAGATGACTCAACAAATCAAGTTTTACTTAGGAATGTCGTATGCCAATGCCAATGGAATGACAACATCCACAAAAGAGAGGAGAAAACATACTGACGAACAGAAAACATAATACAGCCGTTTAATGACCTGCACAGAGATCGTAATGGTAGCGTGCAGACACTTCAGCTGGTCACTATATAAACGTCACACTCTTCTCATTGGCTGAAATAGAAATCTCCGGAGTATATTCGGCCGCGTTCAGACATCAGCTCCTCCGGATTATCTGTGGAAAAAATACTAGGGGTCTGGCCGGATAAACACTGGGTAATATCGTAGTAAAAAATGTAGCTGTTGCGTTCACACATACAGCTCCTTCTGGAAATCTCCAGAGTTTTTCAGGAGATTTCCGTACGTGTGAAAAGGGTTTAAGTCTTACAACACAGAGAGAAATACTCTGTTTCAGATGTGCCCTCCTTGTGGTGTCACAGTGGGATTCTAGGAATAAAAATCTCCTCCCCTCCCCTGGTATTTCCACCCATGGACTCCACCCCCAGCCTAGAGCTAAACTTTTTTGCAGGTCCGCCATTTTTATTCTCTCTACAGAGGAGTGATGTCTACCAGGAATTTTTTTTCTTTTGGGGGGGGGCTCATTGCATTTAAAGAGACACACACACCAAAACGGAGCGTTCTGAGAGAGCTGCTTTATACAGGGTCACAAACCTCCTCTGGTGCTTGATTCATGTTATATTTTTACCAAGTTCCAGTTCCAGATTAATGTCTTCACCCTATTCACATAACAAGCAGTTTCATACATGAAACACTTTTTTTGTTGCTAACCTTCTCAAAATGAAATTATGCTGCAGTTTTAGTTTTTGTCCAGCAAAGGGCATAATTGGTTTGCAAGATACATCTCTAGGATGTGCTGGGATGCATCATCAGTGATGATGGGTCTTTCAACATTAGACCCCCTCCCCCAGGTGACCCATCGGGGTTGATCAAGTCCCGGATTGCATCCCAGCAGCAGCCATCCACGGGCTCTGGAAGGAAACTTTACTCAAATGAAAAATGGGTCCCTGTACACTTTTTGGAGCTAAAAAGTGACCATGAGAGTTACAGTTTCACTGTTGCAGGCCCACCATCATAACTTCTCGCTTAGTATTTTATCTTCAAACAATGTTCCAGGAACCAAATTCTCCTCTGAGGACAGTTTGTGTATAGAATTATGAACATATACCATAAAATCTGTACATTTCTCCAACTTTCACATTTCTCTACCAGAATTCCATAGTGCACCTTTAAGGCATTTCAAAGACACATGGTACTTTTTTTTAGGTCTCAGCTTTAGCAGAAAAGCATACGTTCCAATTTTTGACGGACAAGAGTGAGATTAAAATATTGAAAGGAGGAATACATGGAATTAAAACATGACCAGCTTTTAGTCTCATTTATTTCATATATTTCCACCTTTCTTTGGGATGTGTTTTATTTCATTACTGAAACACAATTTCAAATGTGTGATGGAGGGTGGTTAAAGTAAGATCTCAAGGTTAGCTGAGGCTGTGATGAGGCACAATGAGAGGTCTGTTCATGGGGTCAGATTCCTGGAACTGACAGTAAAATGATCAAAAGTTTAGTCAGATATACTAAATAAATCATAACGAGCAAGTTCAACCAAAGAATCATTTCTAACTAGGATTTTTCAGGGACATCCAAAGCTGAGCTTCATTGGCGGGGTTTGGTTGGCTGAACTGCATTAGGTCCATGGCGTTAGCTGCATTATGTTAGCTGCATAACGTTAGCTTCATGCGTTTGTTGTGTTGTGTTAGCTTGGATGCCTTGGCTGCATTAGTTGGCTTGTTGAAGAATCCCTGAGGTCACGGAGCAGCGAGGCAGCTGCACACTGTGTTGAATGGATGGACTTGATCACAGGAAGCACAACAAGCTGCTGCACAGGTTTCACATATGAAATGTTCTTGGACTGCAAAGATTTTAAACTCACTTTAATGACGTCTTGAACACGTTTACAGGCATGATGTCTGTCTGTTGAAATGTGGGGTTTTATGTATTCTTTGTTTTTCTTTGGTTGCAGGTCTGGACCAGAATCGTGGTGGGGAGTATGCTGCATTTGAGGACCTTGTTGAAAGGTTTGTCAAGGCCCTCAAAGACTGCGGCATCTCGCCGTACGTGGTGCTGGATGGGTGCACAAATCTTACAAGAAGTATGAAACACTTCTATCAAGATCACTGGATCGGCTCCAGAATGCCAATAAAGCAGCAGTGGAAAGCAGCCAGGAGAATGTCTTGCCACAGATGGCCAGTCTGGTGCTCCAACAAACGCTGGCCCGGCTGGAGGTCCCGGTGGCTCAGTGTTATGGAGAGGCTGACCAGGAGATCGCTGCCCTGGCCAAGGAACGGTTCTCTCCAACGATAGCGACTTCTTCATCTTTGACCTCCCAGGGGGGCTGCTGCCCATTTCTCATTTCCATTGGGAAGTGGTGAAGAGGATTGGCTCACAGAGCTACATCCCTTCTAAGATCTACTACTCCTCCAGCTTCTGCAAAGTCTTTGACATAGAGCCCCAGCTTCTGCCAGCATTTTCCTCCTTGGCTGTAAATTTGCAGAGGTTGGATGCGCTTAGTAGATGGGCTGAGTTCGATCCAGCAGTCAACGGGAAATCACCACATCGCCTGAAGGGGCTGCTCTGCTGGCTGAAAGACTTCAAGCAACTTGAGGAGGCCTTTGAGGCAGCGTTAGGACTGCTGGGAGAGCTGAGTGAGGAGACAAAGGCAGAGGTGATGGAGGGCTTAAACTTAGGGATGGAGGAGTACCAGCTTCCTCCAAGCTCCTTGAATAGGTTCTTCATCGATGGGGTTGCCCCTCCATTCCCACTCTGGGAAGTCAAACCAGTTCAAGGATACACTTTCATCTTTATAGTAATAAACAAAAATAGCATTTAAAGTCTGCAAAAATGTACGACACATACACTCAACCATCTCAGACCTTTCAGTATAATATGAAGAACATTTTGACACACCTGATTGAATGTTGTTTTGTCCTGTCCTCCAGGAGATGGCCGGTTGGGTCTTGTTGCTGTTGACGCAGGCACGGCTGAATTCAAACGTCCTTCATGTTCTATTGTTCAGTAGCATTAACCTCAGCTGTCCAGTGGAAAGGGCAGACTTTCCCAGTGCTCACCTGACCTCCAGGCCGATACGCCAGGTGATATACAGGCTGCTGCTGGGAGAGACTCTAGTGAAAGAGAATGACAGAGAAGGCCTCGAGCCGAAAAGCTTCATAGTCCAACCTGCAGCCAGCGGGGTCCCTCAGGAGCTGGAACTCAAGTCACTGAACAAGGTAAAGCTTTCAAACGTTTGTTCCAACACGGACCACAAGTGCATTATTGTGTTGAGTGGCACTCACTATTATCAGCCATAGAAGTCTTTCTTTCTCCATTGACATGACACGAGCAGATGCTACCCAACTTTGGCTTCCCATCTAATATCAAAGTTTACTCAAGCTGTTTTCACATCTGCACCCCTGAAAACTTTAATTTTACCTTTATTTGTTCTCAAGAAATCATTGAGGGCGAGCCCTCGTTTCCTAATGCAAGACTAGACGTTAAAAAAAAACGACGCAGAAGTGGCGGATGAAGCAACAGAGTCCGCACTACAACAAGAATATTTGTCAATTCTACGTGTACTTCGACAGAATCACAATATGAACTAAAGAGTGAAGAAGAACAGAAAACATAATGCAGCAGGTTAATTTACTTCTGTTTCAATTTACAGGTGTGGATGAATTTAACAACAATGTTCCTCATTAACCTCTGACCTCTTGTCCCCAGGCGGAGCCCTCTGTGCGTCTGCAGGTGTTACTGGATGCTCTGGGAGTGCCTGAGGCCTGTCTGGAAGGACTGCAGCCTCACCTGCGCCTCCTGGTGGCAGTGAGCTGCTTCTGGCTGCAGAGAGCCGAGCCTAAACCGGACGAGACGCTGCTGAAGGCGCTGCTGCTGGGAGTAAGTCATGGAGACTCACTGAGACAACGAGCAGGTAATAAATGAGTCATACAGGTGTCTCAACTTACCATTGTTTCCACTGAGGATTCATCTGCAGCCTATGGTCTCATTATTTAAGGAGAAGTAGAGAGCAATGCAAAAGAGAGTCCTTTTCAGTCCTCTATGTGTGTTTGTGATTCAGCTTTGAAGAGAGAGAAGAAACCCTTCGAACTGCGGCTCGATGCAGACGCCCTCCACTCCTTCAACCAATGGCAGGGATGCCTGAGACAGACCGTCCACCTGAACCAGCTGCTGGGCTTCCCCTTACCTGAACCACAGATCGCACGGTGAGTTCAAGGACACAGCAACCTGAGATTCGTCCTGACGTCCCTGATGATAAATCTCCATCTTGTTCTCCTGATGTCCAAAAAGGGTTCCAGTTGTTGCTCCGTCCTCAACATGTGGACCAGCCTGTGGACCAACGTTCCCTGGTAACAACTGGAACCCTTTTTGATGAGCGAACCCTCGGTTATGAGAGAGTACAACAACATTCTCAACATCGTTTCACTTTGAGGAGGCACCTAGAGCAGCGGTTCCCAAGGTTTTCAGCTCATGACCCCCAAAATAAGGGTGTCAGAGACTGGGGACCCCCTCTGTCCCTGGAGGTGGGACGCAATAAAACGCACCGTTTCCACCAGGCGGTCTGATTCAGTTCTGGTGCAGTACGCATTTTTTGGCATTTCCACTGTCAAAAGTATTGGATAAAATAGCCAATGTGTGCCATTCAACTTTTTTGGTACCCTTCTGTTGGGTTGCCAAGCGTACTGATCCGACCCTAAAGGGCGGAGTTAGACACACTGCAGTCCGTTGATTGGTCGAAAGAATTGTCTTTCTGTAAAGTCGCTTGCAAATACCGTCCGTCGCGAGACGCAGGTTGAGGGTCGCGGGTCATGGGCTTGTTTTCTAAAGTGTTGTTGCTTTTTCGGGCTTGCTTTGCTTTCCTTGTATGAACCCCTTCTGATTCTCTCCCAGCTCTCCATAATAAAGCCAAACACGAACGCGATAGTTAGTTTGTCCTTCTCCAGGATCTGTCCACAACTCTATTTCCCTGGTTACCACGGCATTTTGGGATCACCCTCTTTGGGGCTTTTTAAAAAATAATTGATTCATCAATGCATTACAATTGTTATTTTCCCAATTCAATATCGATTCAGGGAAATGATGAGAGCTATTATTTATTTGTTGTTGTAATGACACCCCTTCTCCACTAGGAGGCACTGTGGATGCTGCGAATTCAGGTCAGGCACAAATGTGCACTTTACATGTAGTTTTTGTCCTTGCCATTACAGCACTGTTATGTTTATTACAATTTTGCTGCAAATTCAGCTCAGGGCACTTTAGATCATATTGTACTTTCATGTTTTATTATTTGTTAATTAAAGAATAATGAATCAATAAAATACATTTCTGAGTCAGTTTGTTCCAAACCTTTGCAAAAAATGCACACATAATTCTTTAACAAATATCAGAAGGTAGCCTACTGTGATGAGTTATCTGGGCAATCCAGTCATCTGTGTGTATTATTAAATCGATAAGGAAGCATACTGATCAATATCAAATCAAATTGTGACCCAAAGAATTGAAATTGAATTGAATTGTGAGGTTGTGGGCAATTCCCAGCTCTCGTAGCTTGTGACCCATCAGTTGAACCACTGACCTACAGTAACCTTTGCTGTATTACATCTGCCACACATTTCTAACCTCTCTCCATTTTTCAAAAGCATCTCCAATATTGATCCTAGTTTGAGCACGTTTCTGCTCGTGGAGCTTATTAGAAACATGCAGAGGCTTTTTAGGTCGGGTACAATCACTTCTATCTGAACCACTTCTCTTGACCGCTTCCATCGCTGCAACACCTGTTGACCTGATAACTGCTCTCATATCTGACAAACTGAGGGGCGTTTATTGTTAGTTTTTCTCTGATCTGATTTTTTTTTATTGTTGAGCAATGGGCTAAAGCAACTATATTTTCTGTTTCCATTTCTTTAATTTTTTTTCACCAGATAAACTGTTTCCTGTTTCTTTCTCCTTGATAACAAAAACTGGACTTTCACTCAGCTTGTAAAACTCTTCACCTGGGGCGCGCTGGTGGCGCAATGGTTAGGGTGCATGTCCCATGTGTTGAGACTCTCATCTCAAGCAGTAGGCCCAGGTTCACTTCCACCTGTGGCCCCTTTCCACATGTCATTCTCTGGTTTCTGACTCTATCCACTGTCCTCTCTCTGCATGAAAGGCACAAAAAGCCCAAAATAAATCTTTAAAAAAAACAAAAACTCTTGACCTGTTGCAGGACTTTTGCTGGCACAGAAGAGGATTAGGGCCACACATAAAAAAAAAATTGAGTTCTGACTTTATTCTCAGAATTCTGAGAATTCATCATGTGCTATATGAATTTATTTTACTCCCCCACATTTCCCACCTGCTAACACATCAACATTAGGCTACATAGTAGCCACCTGTAGCTTTTTCTATGCTGCGGACTGCTCGCCTCTTTTCTTCTTTGTGTGGTCAATAAAGGCATTTACATACAGCCCAAAACAACTTAAAGTCACGTTCTGTTACGGCTCTGGCTGTGATCCTGTTTCTGTGTATCCTTTGTGTCCCCTCCCCCTCTGTCTGTCTGTGTGTGTGTGTGTCTCTGGAGGGTGTGGCTGCAATCAACACCGGGTGACTACTCACACCTGCAGCTCATCTGCTCATCTGCCTCAAGTTAAAAGCCCTGGGCTCAACTCAACTCATTGCCAGATTATTGAGTCTACTGAAGTGGTAGATACATTTTGTTAGGAGCACACTAGTTTTGTTCCTAGTGTTTTACTAGTGGACCGTAACTGATTTTTCTCTCCTGTTGTCCAGATTCTCACCGGTGTCATCTCCTCCAGTCTGCTCTCCTCACAGACAACTCAACCAATCACCCGCCTGCCTACAGAACCAGCTAACTCCATAGTCTCCTCCACGCCGTCATTACCGGCCAGCCAGTCAGCCATCCACCTTTCCCAAACCCTGCAATAAAATCTCAAATCCTTCAACTTTGCTGCTGTGTCTGCTTTTGGGTCTGGATACAAACCGTAACACGTTCATGTTCATGTGTAAATAACATATTATAGCCTGTGTGCCTCGTCTTGTTTAGCTTCAGCAGCTATTCCCTTTAGGCAAAACAAACGGACATTAACTAATAAAGAGGAATGTAGGCCTAATCATTTCACAGCGCATATGAAAATACTTGACAACATAAGTATGTGTGGCGCTTATGTACATTTCTCAACTGCAAACACTTGAAAGATGTTAGAGACAAAGTAGTGATCTTCAGCATTTGCAATTCCGCGGCATAGTAATTAATAAAAATAATATTATTTATTATTGAGTGGGGGAGAGAGAGAGAGAGAGAGAGAGGGAGCGGGGAGAGGGAGCGGGGAGAGAGAGAGAGAGTGGGGGAGACAGAGAGAGAGGGAGGGAGCGGGGAGAGAGAGAGAGAGCGGGGAGACAGAGAGAGAGAGAGAGAGAGGGAGCGGGGAGAGGGAGCGGGGAGAGAGAGAGAGAGCGGGGGAGACACAGAGAGAGAGAGAGCGGGGAGAGAGAGAGAGAGAGGGAGTGGGGGAGAGAGAGAGAGAGCGGGGAGAGAGAGAGAGAGAGACAGAGAGAGAGAGAGAGAGAGAGAGACAGAGAGAGAGAGAGACAGAGAGAGAGAGAGAGAGACAGAGAGAGAGACAGAGAGAGAGAGAGAGAGGGAGAGAGAGAGAGAGAGAGAGAGAGGGAGGGAGAGAGAGGGAGAGAGAGGAGAGAGAGAGAGAGAGAGAGAGAGAGAGAGAGAGAGGGAGGAGAGAGAGAGAGAGAGGGAGAGAGAGAGAGAGAGAGAGAGAGGGAGAGAGAGAGAGAGAGAGAGAGAGAGAGAGAGAGGCTCCGTGCAAACAGCGCTGCTTTATTCTAAGTCTCTGCGTTCAACATAGCAAAACTGCCTTTTTAAAAAAATCCCTCTCGACTCCTACGGAGTGTTAAGACATCAAAAGAGAGCAGAATCACATCAGCTTCAGAACAAGAGAGAGAGAGAGAGAGAGAGAGGAGGGGGAGTGAGGGGGAGAGAGAGAGAGAGGGAGGGGAGCGAGGGGGAGAGAGAGGGAGAGGGAGGGGGAGCGAGGGGAGAGAGGAGAGAGAGAGAGAGAGGGAGGGGGAGCGAGGGGGAGAGAGAGGGAGAGGGAGGGGGAGCGAGGGGGAGAGAGAGGGAGAGGGAGAGAGAGAGAGAGAGAGAGAGAGAGAGAGAGAGAGAGAGGAGGGGGGAGCGGTAAGTTGTCTGTACATGCATCAAAACTGAAGCTCCTCCTGGCTCCGTTTTAAAAATGTTAATGTGCAGCTGCTTGCTGCAGATTGTGTGCTGAACTCCAATAAGCAGCAGATATTCTGTTAATGTCGGTCTACATTAACAGAATATCTGCTGCTTGCTGTTGATTCAGTACTGAACCATAACGGACATGAACATTAATAGAATATCTGTTAATGTAGGTCTACATTAACAGATATTCTGTTGCTTATTGGAGTTCAGCACACAATCCGCAGCAAGCAGCTGCACATTAACATTTTTAAAACGGAGCCAACTAAAAAAGCACCTTTCACAACGAAAACATAGACTTTTAGAAAGACTTTGAGATAAAATGAAAGTCAGAAAAGAAGGGACTAATGAAGACACATCACATGCTGAAATTCAATGTTGATTTGACTCCAAAACAAAAGGAAGGGGGAAATCATCTAGTTTAGTTTAGTTTAGTTTAGTTTAGTTTAGTTTAGTTTAGTTTAGTTTATTTGCACATTTTTTGAAAGAAGAATCAAACAGAAAATAAAAAAATAATTCCTCAGAGAGCTGGATGAAAGCAAACTTCAGAAATGTTTGCGATTCTGCATCGGATCTGATCTCATAATTACAGACAGCATCTACGTGGAGTTTGAAGAAATGACAGCGTTCATGAGAAGACCAATTGGGCACACCTGTGGGAACATGCTGCACATGGCTGACAGCTACGAGAACTTCCCAGATTTCCATTCTGAATTTAATGCAGTTCTAGAAAGCAATGTCTGGGTAATGGACATAGTTTAGATTACCACAACTATAACCACTAAAATCTCTCTTTTTTTATTACTTAATTTTTCAGTTTTAGACTTTTTAACATTTAAATCATATTCATAAATTCAAAATATAGCCATTCAACATAAACAGAACAAGTAAATAAAATAAAAAGAATGTGTATATATACGTATATATGTATATACATACATATACACATATACATACATATAAACGTATATACACACACATACATAC